CAATGATTTCATCTTCTCCACCCCATATTTCCTTTATGCAATTCTTCTAGTACCGTCTTCCGTAGTGGCGGTGGGATAACCACTCAATCGTCGCGACACAATACACCATCCAATTGTACTGACAACTCCTCTCGATGAGCAAAGAATTAAGGATACTTCCTCTTTACCTCTGGTGACCATCCTTTCTTGATCGCTGAGAGTATGGCCGAGTAGTACTGTTTGGTAGATTTGCATAAGGATTCCCGAGACACTGGAGATGCTGGGGAGATGAAATGACACTGTTCGGCCTCAGAAAATCGTGAGTAGCGAGAGAGGCAATCAGCCTGCGGGGTTGTCTTTTCTGGACGATGTTGGATGTCGTAGTTGTATGTGGCTAGGGTGATGCTCCACCTCTGTAGCATAGCATCAGTGGACTTCGCGATGGATTTGTTGGGTTTGAACAAGAACTGTAGCGCTTGGTGATCAGTGATGATAGTTAATCCGAAAAGGTACGTGTGCAATCGTCGAACAACTCAAAATACGGTCAACGCTTCTTTTTGAGTCTGTGAGTATCCCTTTTCTGACGCATTGAGTATACGTGAAATGCAGATCACTGGGCATCCTTCCTGTTCTATTACAGCACCGATTCCGACGTCAGATGGATCAGTGACGAGTGCAGTCGGATTTGAAGGTGAAAACGGGACCAGAACAGGACGATCAGTAACGCAGCGAATTAAACCACGTAAGATATCTTCACACTCCACCGACCATTCCCAAGCGTCTGAACACTGAGCACGGAAAAGCGGCTGCGCCCTTGTAGCAAAGTTCGGGATAAATCGGGAATAGTTCTGTAGGCATCCAATCACGGATCTCAAATGCGTTTGATCCTTTGGAGATTCGATTTTAATCAATGGTTTGAAACGTGTCGGATCGGGACGATATCCACGGGAATCAACTGTGAATCCTAGAAACTCCAACTCACTTTGGACGACTTTATAGCCACGTTCCTGAGGGCAAATCGTTCCAGTAGCTGCGTCAGCCGGGTATCGTGTTCTTTCTTATTAAGGCCGAAAATGATTACGTCATCTTGATATGCAAGCACACCGTCAAGTCCTTTCATTACACTGTCTATTGCCGATTGAAAGAGGCCAGACGACACATGCAATCCGAATGGGAGAAAATTGTACTGATACATTCTCCACGGCGTGTTGATTGTTGTCAAGTAGCGAGATTCGACATCGAGTTGAATCTGTAGGTATTGCGGGAAAATACTGTTACCCATGCAGTGTCTTCATGAAATCCTCTGGTTCCATGTTGGTCGCTGCACATCTTCGCAATCTGGGATTCAACGTTAGTCGATAGTCTCCACAGATCCGTGGTATCCTACCATCACTCTTCATCGCCACGACGATCGGGGTCGCCCAGGCACTGGATTCAANTGCTCCATGTTCTGTAATGCTTTCAGGACACCTTCCCGTTGACCGTATGGGAGGACGCATCGTTTAAGGAAAATAGGTCCACCGTCCACTTCCAACTTCACTGACGGTACTTTCATGCCACCAACGTTACCGGAACACTGTACAATCAAATGTTGAAGATGTGAGGTGATTGGCATATCGTTGATGGTATGTAGTGTGATGGATCCTTGTAGTAGCCGCATTGCTCGAAGGCCCAGAATAGACGAACTGTGGGCTGATACCAGGAATCAGATTGGGATTGATACGCTGGATTCAGATTGAACGCACAACATCGTTTCGCCAAGTAATTGTAACTGATGGCCAGTAACCCCATGAATGCGCACAGAAGTCGGGGCTAGAACAGCATTAAGAAAAATCGCAGTGAGTGCTGATTTCGGTAG